CATTCTGAGACAGGGTCTTGCTAAATTGCTGAGGCTGGCCTTGAACTTGCTATCTTCCTGCTGCAGCCCCCCCCCCCCCAGTAGCTGGGATTATAGATGCATTCTGCTGCACCCAGAAGTCTGACTTCTTTCATTCAATATAATTTTTTGAGAATCCTCCATGCTGTGGTGTATAGCAGCTCATTCCTTTTCATTTCTAAGTAATATCTTGTTGGAATATTCCACAATTTGGCCATTCACCTGTTAATAGAAATTTGGATTGTTTCCAATTTTTTATTCTTACATGTAAAGTTTCTATGACATTTTTTATAAGTTCTGTATGCTTTCATTGCTCAAATGAATATACAGAAGTGGATGGCTGCATGCATCCATCCAGGAGGTATATGCTTAACCTTTAAAAAGAAAGTAATCATTTGTTCCTCTTTGGGTGACAGCTAGTAAGTTTACACCAGAATTTGCAACTTGTCTCCCAGAAATATGCAGAATTCCTCAAACTAAGTTTGGAATAATTACCTGATTTCTGGCTCCACATTATTTTGTCTATTTCTTTTTCATTCTCTAGTCTCCCTAATTCTTTTTTCTACATATTTATGTAAGTCACATTAAAGTCTTTCTGGGATATGGCTTAGATCCAGCAGGCAAAAGAAAAAAAATGTAGGGATTATTGGTGAATGGAGCAAGCCCTGGGTTAAGACTAAAGACCTGGTTTGCAAGCTCCACTGTTACTAAAATTTTATATGACCCAGACCTAAATGCCATTCATTCTTTCTTGTTTTCAGCATTATCATAAACAGAAGAGCTGAATTAAATGAGCTGTGTTGGGTTACAGCTCCACGTTTCACCTTACTTCCCCAAGAACCCTCTGCTTTTCAAATCTGATTCTCTCACAGAGAACCAAAAAGAAGATTGTAGTGAATGCTCCTCTACTATCACTACCAAGAGATCTTGAACTGAATTAATCCTAATATGTATATTCACTTGGTGGTCATGGCAAACTGAAGTAGCAAGTTTCTAAATTCATAACTCTGAACCCAGCTCTAAAATTGAAGCAGACAAGTTTCTGTTTCTTTTATTCACAGAGATTTCAGTAAAGAGCAATGTGCACATGCTCCTCTGTAAAGAAAAAGAGACAGGGAGGAAACACTTATTGGAGGGATCTTTGGGTGATCAAGGTCCAACTCCCCACCTAAGTTGAGATACCAAGGGATCAAATAAAAATAACACCCATTCCAAATATCCAATATGCTTTTTGCTCCATCTCTCTGGTGAATGTTCATTGTATCTATGAGCTACATCTAGTAGCCAGCATCTAATCCAGAAAATGCAGCATCTTAGTGCCATCAGCTCAAGGCCCATAATTTATAATGTACAGTAACATTATATGCAAATCTAATGACTATAAATGTGGAATTTATACAAATAATTTGGTATACCCTTATAATGGAATGTTATTGAGGCAATGATCTATGGTTAATATTTTCTGACGCTGAAAAAATATTTATACTTGTTAGTGAAAGTAACTGGCCTACAAAGGAGACATGGCTCATTTACTCAATTATGTACTTAACTTCTAATAGCAATGATACAGACTTCATCCATAGCACCCATAGCACCCATAGCAATGAACTAAAGAACATATGTGCATAAGAGGTCTGAATATGGGTAAGAGAATTTTTCTTTGATACGGTCTGTCAGGAAAAACAAACAAACAAAAATTTTCTGTCAAGAAATGCCTCCTTTACATGTCTCTCTTGAGAGAGCAAAGTTATGGACACTAATCACCTCCATGATAATTAGAAATTTAGAAATATAGATCCCAATGGTCTTGAGAAAATTTTTATCCTGTATATTTTTCATTTATTCTAATCTGAGTTTCTCCAGGAAAAATTACTCAAGCCATATTTACTTTCACCTGGGTATAGGGCAGTGATATTCACTCCAGGAGAGAAACCTTATTATGCTAAAGTCATATCACCAGCAATATTCTCTACATGCCAATAAGTGTGAAAGGGAAAGAGAGACGACCTAGAGGACGTAAGTAACCCTCTAAATGTCTTGCATCGCCATGTCTTCCCACTCTGAGCTGCTTCTAATCACACTAGTCAGCACCAACTTAGTTAGCTACTTCCCTGATTGAGTCACTGTGTCTCTCCCTCTGCATGTTCATTAAAAATAACTGTATCAATACAATAAGAACAACCATAAAAAGGCTTGGGGAGTATAAATTTCTTCATCTTTTTGCCAAAAGAAAAAAGGATTTTTCTCTGGACAATTATTTTCCAAATAGTACTTCAGTCCTTTGTTCATACATAAGATTTGAAAAGATAGGTTTTTACAATTCTAATTTGGTTTCAACACACACACACACACACATTTCTGACCACTCTCCTTTCTAGGTCTTGTTCAGTGACTTCATTCAAGCCACAAGTCAGACTTGAACTGTGGAGAAAGCAAATTCCTATACATCCCATTTCAGAGTTAGGAGCTGGTTCTCAGGAGATTGGATAGAATAGTTACTCTTCAACCTAATAACCTAATCAGAATAAAAAATTAGAATAATGCATGTGTAGAAGTGGAAAGCTCTTCTTGAAAAATTACTTCTAATCCAAATGTTTTAACAATATTTTGAGTATTGTAATAGTAAAATGTGAGAGGAATAATTAGATTATTCCTACACATTTAAGATTCTTGTAGACTCATAAGCACATACACAAATGTTATTTCCCTATATAAAATTAAAATTAAATTGCTATTTTATGGTAATCATATTACAATGGCTACATGTATCGAACATCATGTATATTATGAATATATTTAATTTATATTTATCAATAGTACTTCAGTATAGCTGTAAAAAATCACTGTAAATAATGTGGGATATGAATAGCAGAAACAAAATTGATCTTAATATTATATAATCAGGTTATAAATTCAATTGATTTTAACAGCACTTTTGAATTCTATTAATTTCAACAGATGTGTTGCATACTTGATTCTGCATTTAAAATCTTAAAAAAAGGAAACAAACTAAAATTTTATATATAAAGTTGCTTTTAAACCTAACATCCTATAAAATTATGTAATTTTCAAATATAGAAAATTGGGAATTTCTGGATTTATGCTTATGAATAAACTCATATTTAAGAAAACATTACATTCTGAAAGAGTTCAAATTTAAGATGATTCTAAAGTTTTTAAAAGTATGTACTTTGTGTTATTTTCTCAAGGAAATGGAAAAAACTTATGCTTCTATTAGATATGAGCATTTGTTTAAACTACTGAATTAGTTACTTTAGTAACTCAAACTAAAAACATAACAGTCTGAGACAAATTACCATTTTATGTTAAGCAGCATTAGGAATATGCAGAATGTGTAACTCTGTGTAGCATAATATTCAGGCTTTCTAGTAGAATTCTTTATTAGCTATGCATATCTATAATTTAGGTCCAGAATTTAAAGCATTAAGACATTATTCCCCCTGCATTCCAGACACAATTTTACTGTTTGAATACAAACACATATGAATAAAACAAACAAACAAAAAATGATCCTTCATTATTCCTAAAAGTAAATGAATGAAGAAGATGCTATCATGAGAGCAGAAAATTTAGGAGCACAAATGATAACATCATAAAAAAATAGTAAGTGAAGAGGCAGGGAGGATTGTGCTATGATCCAATCTCCTTTTATTTATTAAGCAGAGCAATGCAAAGTGAGTTGAACAAGATATGATTTGCCTTCTCATGATTTAAAAAAACTGCAAGCACCTTGTCTTTAAAGGAATTGGTTATACATTTCCCCCATATTTTTATCAAAAATATCTCAGGCTTATCTGTCTCAAAATATGTGTGCACATCTAAGATTTTCTGCTTGTGTGTTTTCATAGGTATATATGACCTATTATTTCATCACTTTTAAGAGGTAAAAGATTTTATGTCAGCACTCCTAAGTATGTTATTAAAGAAAATGTAGCTTTATTTAGGTTCCTTCTATATTGACACCTGTGTATAACCCCATATCACTCATATCAATTAATTAAATGTAAGAAACATCATCATAATTCACCTTGTCTGTGAGACAAAAAAAAAGACACAAAACGCATTCTAGTTATTTTCCCGACAAAATTCTTCACTGTTATCCACTATTTTTTTATTGCAATTTCTATTACTATGAACAATGATCACCAACAATCCATTCAATAATAGCCTAAAATTAGTCTCAGCATGCACCTGTTACTCCCTCCCACTTAAATTGCCACTGTTATAGTTTGGATATGAAGATTTTTCCAAAAGCTCCTGTGGTAATGCAGGAACATTTAGAGGTGGAATGATTAGATTATTAGAATTGTAGCCTAATCTATTTTATGAATGAATCACTGAAAGGTCCACTGTACTGGGTGGTAATTTTAGGTATGAGGGGTATGGCTGGAGGTGGGTCACTGTTGATGTGCCCTTGAGGATTATATCTTGTCCCCCTGGCTCCTCTCTCTCTCTCTGCATCCCAGACACCATGAAGTAGCAAGTTTCCTCCATCATGCCCTTCTTCCATGATGTTCCACCTCACCTCAAGTCTAGAACCATGGAGTTGGCTGACTGTGGACTGAATTTCTGAAACTGTAAGCTCAAAATAAACTTTTCCTCCTCTAAGTTGTTATTATCAGGTTTGAGTGGTATGTTAGATTTTTGTCACTGCGACCACATGGAAGCTTTTCTTAAGTAGATTGTCAATAATAACTTTTGACAAATAGGGGGAAGAGACAGTTCATGAAAAAAAAGAGGAGGTGTCAAATAGTTAATGTGACCAAAAAAATGACACAAAAATGCCTTTTTATTAAAAGACGTTCCTAAATGTCTTTTAACAATTATATCTTTTCTTTTCTGTGTAATTTCACTGGTTAAAAATCTTACCTAAGATTTTATCTCAAATGTTGTAGGTAAATAGTAATAATGACACTTCTCTGGATTGAATTTCTATTTTTCTCTTTTGTCTTTGAAGACTGATGGAAGAAAACAATGAAACCTCTGAGGGAGGGTTTATTTTGCTTGGATTCTCCGACCAGCTCCAGTTGGAAATCATCCTTTTTGTGGTAGTTTTGATATCCTGTCTTCTGACCTTTGTGAGCAATACATCCATCATCCTGGTCTCCTGCCTGGATTCCAAACTCCACTCACCTATGTACTTCTTCCTCTCCTTTCTTGACCTTGCCTTCACTACCAGCATCATGCCCCAGCTGTTGTGGAACCTGAGAGGACCAGCCAAGACCATCACATCCACTGGCTGTGTCCTACGACTCTATGTGTCCCTCTCCTTAGGTTCCACTGAGTGTGTTCTCCTTACTATCATGGCATTTGACTGCTATGTGGCTGTCTGCAGACCTCTCAACTACACGACTGTCATGCACCCATCATTCTGCAAGGCCCTGGCAGGAATAGCCTGGCTCAGTGGACTGGGAAACACTCTGATCCAAAGCACCATCACCCTGCGACTTCCTCGATGTGGGCACCGTCGCCTCCACCACTTCTTGTGTGAAGTGCCTGCCATGATCAAATTGGCTTGTGTTGACATCCATGCAAACCAAGTCCAGCTTTTTGTGGCTACATTAGTTCTCCTCCTCCTTCCCATGGCATTGATATCTGTCTCCTATGGATTTATCGCACATGCTGTGATAAAAATTAAGTCATCCCAAGCTTGGTGCAAGGCTTTAGGGACCTGTGGCTCTCATCTACTAGTGGTGTCCCTTTATTTTGGGACCAGCTCAGTCATATACATCCAACCACAGAGATCCTTTGGCCACAGCCAGGGCATGTTCCTCACACTCTTTTATACTGTTGTGACTCCCACTCTCAATCCCCTCATATACACCTTGAGGAACAAGGATGTGAAAGGAGCCCTGAGGAGACTGCTGAGGAGAGAACAAAATTTCTAATGAAAAAATCCAAGGGCAGTGACTTTCTGTGCTGGAAACTTACTAAAGAGTTACCATATTAAATAACTTCTCCCTAACGTGCAGTTCATGTGTGACTGACTGCCTCTCTAGCTGAATTTATGTACAGTGTAGCCCACATTGTCTCAAAAAAGAACATTTAGATTCAACTTCTGTAGCTCATGGAACCTTGTGTGTGTTACAGATATTTTCACAAACTCTCTTATTAAATGTATTTTATATGAATACATTTCATATAAATGAAAAGCTACACATATAGTAAGAATGGAAAATTTTGTAGATTTTCACTGCACATATATACATATATGCCTGAAAACATAATTAGGGAATTAAAATATTATTTATTATTTGAAAAGTTGAAAAGTATATATTAGCATGAAGAAATTATTGTAGTATTTCCTGTGTAGAACAATTCTCCAATAAATAAATAATTACCAAATTATTTAATAAATACTAAACATTCACATAACCTAGTTTCAGCTTGATCCAGGCTCTTGGCAAAATCTTGCATTCAATTCTATGTAACAATCTTCTGCATTCCCAGTTTCTTTGTGGCTTTTGACCATGTAAACTCTGGAGGCACACTTTCTTAGTTTGAAGGTTTGTTTTATTCACTTGCTGTTCATGACACTCTGCTCCTTACCTTACCTGTACGTTTCTCAATCACTTCTGACATGTTCAGTGACAATTAAATAAACTTAATTCATGCAAAGTGTCAAAAAGTCATAGCAGTAATAAATACTGAGTAAATTTAACAATTATTTAAAATATTTTAAAATAGAATGGTACTCAGAATTCTGCATAGTCCTCCCACACAACTTATGTCATTCTCAACATGCGCTTCATTGTGTGGTTTGTGTTTCTTTTACATTTTATATTAATTGATAGTTAGATTTTATTTGCTAATTTGTTTATTTGATTTTATTTATTCATTTGAATTTTATTTATTTGTTTATTTGATTTTTCCTGGAAACACTAAAACCACATCTTTGTGTCACCACCAATTTGCAATCAAGTACCAATTTTGACTTTGGAATCTTTGCTCTAAAGAATATTATTGAAACTTTGAGTCTGAGTGCTTGGGTTCAAACTCCAGTCCAATGAAACTAATCAACTAGAATAATGTTTAAATACATATCTATATTATGCCAATTCACAGTTTCCACAACAGTACAAGAATGAGAACAATAGTTCCTAACTTACTTGACTATTGTGATACATAAATCTGATTGGGATACAGTTAAGCTCAGAGCTATCTAGTATGTATTACTAACAACCACCCAATAATTGTTAGCTACTTCTGAACCACTTATACTATTCCAAACTTCATAACTTGATTGACCTTACTGATTTAATGATTTCTCTATGTCTTCATTCAATTCCTAGTATTATTTCAACAGCATTTAACTATGCCAAACTATTCCCTATCTTTTTGGTAACTCCTCAAACTTAGTTTAAAGTTGGAATGTGAATCCTGCATTGTATGTAGACTTTCCTTATCATCACGGCCATAGGAAAATATTCTCCAAACTATTCCTAGTGGTGTCTTAACCCACTTCATCCATCACATTCATGTTGTCACTGCCCTAGTTCAAATCTTCTATCCTGCTCCTTAAAAAGATTCAAAATATATAGCTCTGAGCAAAAATGGTTTTACAGGCATGTTTGATTTGGAGGACAAGTTTAATTTAGTGACTGTGAATGTACCCAAATGTGTAATAGATTTTCTGCCTTATAGCCTTCCACACCTGGCCCATGGGCTCCATGTGGGTCACCTTCTAGCTTTGAGACACTTATAAGTGTTGGTATGTTTGACTAAATTTTTTAAATGTCCAAATTGTTCTCTTCATGGCCTTTCTAAATGACAACTTTGATATTCTAGAATAATTGCATTCTATTTATGACTATGCTATTCCAATTTTAAATGACACTTAAATGTTACAGAATGAATTTTATAGTAGCACAAAATCTCAGGTTCTCCATTAATTGAATTTGTCTTTTCCTTACGATGTGTAATTCATATTTAAACAGCAGTTTCTGAATATTTTCTTTTTATTAACCTTAGAATATTTACTATATCAGCTTCTCAAAGCCAAACTTAAGTCTCACCTATTTCACATAAATGTCCTCATTCAATAACTTCTTTCTTTTCTGTATTGCCATATCACTTTTCATGTACTAATTATTAATAAATATATGAGAATAAAGGGCTTTTTTTTAGGAATTCAAGTACTCCATTATAGTTAAGGGAATAAGAGTCAGAAATCATAGGAGATAGTCTTGGAATTGTGAAGTGAACTGAATAGCTTAAGGATTTGTATATTATGTGAAGAAAAATGAACATTCCTATGAATTCTAGAAGAATATCTTGTTTCTTCTATGGTTTTGGACACCAGAGTCACACCAACTTAGTTCTAACTCCTGCAATGAGTTCCTTCATCTCCAAATCTACATAACAGAGTAATAGTGCCAATTTCTTGATACTAGGGTGAGGAACAAGTGAGACAATGCATGTTATGGACCTGACATCTAGCAAAGCTCAAAACACACCTGTCTATTAACAGTGAGATTCTTCAAGGAGCACTATCAAATCAGAAGAAGCATTACTTCATTCTTTTCTCTGCCCATACCAGAGTGTGGCTCTTTCCATGCCCCTGGAGAGAGTCTTAGAATGCACATGAGTTTTCTGTTTTTTTTTTTTTAATTAATTTTTTATTTGTTCTTTTTAGTTTTACATGATAGTAGAACATGAAGGACCTCAAGACCCCAGGCCCAGCATTAGGTGACCTAACCCCTAGGCCTCAAAGCTGCAAGATGCTCCCTCACCCAACCCCCATGTCAGAACCCCTCCAGCAGCACGTAGCACCTCACGTGTTGCACAATGTTAACACAAGATGTTCCATGTAGATAACCCTAACGGGCCCCCCTACCACAAGATGTTCCTCTTAGACAGCCCTACCAGTTAAACTTGAGAACTAGGTTTAAAAACAGGAACTGAAAGGACAGAATGCAATTCTATGGTTTTTCCGAGAACAAAAAGTTGAAAAACAAGTTTACCCCCTAGGTGACCCAACTGCTGGATTCAGAGGGACCAATAGAAAGGCTGTTGCTGTGCTAAGCTAAGAACTAACCCACTTGTTCCCTATAAAAGATCTGTACCCCAAAGCCCGGTGTGCCAGTTCACCGAAGCTCCGGCTGAGGTTTCGCTGAGCACCCGCAGGCGCCTGTGTGAGAATAAACGCCTCCTGCTTTTTGCAGCCAGTGTCTCGTGTGGTTCATTCCGGGTTTGGGATCTGTGGATCTTTCAAACATATTTTGACATATCATACATACATGAAACATAAATTCCTATTTTTGTGGTGGTACATAATGTGGAGTTGCAATAGTATTGTATTCATATATGAATAAATAAAGGAAAGTTCTGTCCAGTTAATTTTACTGACTTTCCCATTCTCATCCCCTCTCCCACTCTCCTACTCCCCCTGTCCAATCTGGTGAACCTCATTCCTTCCTTCCTGCCTCATGCCTATTGTGAGTCACCATCTATACACCAGAGAGAACATTTGGCCTTTGTTTTTTTGTGATTGGTGTATTTCGCTTAACATGATAGACTCTTGTTCCACCCATTTACCATCAAATACTGTAATTTCATTCTTCTTTATGGCTGAGGAATATTTCATTATGTATTTACAATTGATAAAAGAAGGCACTTTTCCTAATAAAATATTCTCAGATAAATAGTTAAAATGTCTGCTTTCAGGTCACAAATAAAAGAATATTAAATAATAGTGAAGAGTTTACAAATGAGAATATTGATAAGATTTTCACCTTATTAAAATGTACTTTTTGGTACAATTTTGAAAGAGTTGAGCAAAATTGATAAACTGTTAGCAAGATTATCCAAAAAAAAAGAAAGAACAAGAAACCATTAAGCATAATAATATAGCCAGTATTAAATAAATTCTAAATAGAATAAAGATAATAAATGAGCATTATGAACCCCTGCATACTTCAGAACAGGAATGTATTTCCATGAACTTTGGGACTGATTTGGAGCAGGAAGGGATTTTAGCCTGGCAGGCATGAATGGTTGTGTATGGGGTGGGGGACAGGGGAGATTGACAGAAACCCAGGAGAGTATGCTGCCGCAGTCCGCTGCAGCAAAATAACGGGGGTGGGGGGGTGGGGTGGGGGTGTGGGGGGGTGGTGTTGAGGAACAACTTGTGTAGATTGATACAGCAGGAGTGGAAGAGTGGAAGCCCTTTATTGCAGGACAGGAGCAGTATTTATACATTCCACACAGCTTATCTAATTAGCATAAACTAGATACAGCAGTCAACCAATCAGGAATCTCCACACTTAATGGCTCGCTTTTGTTACTTCTCAAACCACTCCCTCTGGCATTTTGCCAGGCACCATCCAGACTTGTTTACGAACTCTAACATTCCCCTGGCAAAATGCCAGGTGTTATTTTGACTTGTTTACAGACTCTAACATTTCCCCCTTTTGTTTAATTTAAATAACGACCATAGTGGTTTTTACAGAAACACCATAAATAACCTGCTACAAACAGAAAGGGAGGATACAAAATGCCACAATACCAAGCCAATTGATGGCTCCATGCAAGAAGCCCTTGGAAAAATTATACCAGCAATGACACTGTTAGCAAAGATACCCAGTTACAATTTGTTATAGATTACAGTTTGTTGTCTCAGTCCAGTTAAAGCAGTGTCTCAATAGATTAACTCACAGTCCAGGTAAATCACAGTCCAGGTAAGTTCTGCAGGCAGCTAGCTTAAATCACAGTCCAGGTAAGTTCTGCAGGCAGCTAGCTTGATCCGAAGTCTCATCCTGTTTTCACCTGAAATCTCAGTCCGGTTCTCAGCAACACTGGAAATTCTTCCACCTTTGTCCTCACCGGCACTGGGACGAAGGCAGGAACTCAGGATGGCTAAAGAAAATCCTGTAGTATTCCAGCAGTCTCTAAGAAAACAACCTTCTGAACAATTTAGTACATTATCTCAAGGTTTTTTACATTTGAAATAAGCCTTAATAGTGCTTATTACTCATTAGCTTCCAGGTGTGGGAGAACCATTGTAGTTAATTGGCATTGAAAATGACCAAACATCAGGGACACCAGTAGCATCTTCTGCTGGCTGTAGTGCCTGGGCAGCCCCAGATGGCCCTGGGGAGTGTCCCGGACTCAAACTGCTACTGGGCACAGGGAGCAAGAGCCTGCGAGAGACTGTGCCTCCAGGTCAGGTCTAGATTTGGGCTCGCGGCAGTGGAAGAGCCAGCTCCCCGGCCAGGAGGCGGGGAAAGGCCAGTTGCCACTGCCTCTTGGAAAATCCTTGCTGCGCTGTGACTGGCTTGCACACTCGGCAGCTGCCTCTCCGCTTCACGCACCCTCCGGTAACGAAAAGTATTTAGTAATAGCCTTTTGCTGCAACTTTTTTCCTGATAATCTTTCTTCTTCTGAACTTTCTTTTTCTTTCTGACTAGAGTTCCTGGGCTTCCATCAACACATGCCTTAACTATTCTTGGTTCCATTGGGGTGCCTCTTTCCCTTATCAATTTACTTCTCACCCCTTCCATATTTTCATCACAAAGACAATACAACATTTCAAGACAAAACAAGACACAAACATACTGTATCAATCTTCTCCATTTTCTCGAAATGGCCATTTTTCCTCTCGCCCTATCTGCCTAGGGACGAGCAGATTTGCTCCCGTCCTATCTATGGACGGGCAGCTTTTTTTTTTTTCGTCACTTACCCCCAAGTGTCCCGGGGCTCCCCGTAATGGGCCACCATCTGCCACAGTCCAGCTGCAGCAAAATAGCCGGGGGGTGATGAACAACTTGTGTAGATTGATACAGCAGGAGTGGAAGCCCTTTATTGCAGGACAGGAGCAGTATTTATACATTCCACACAGCTTATCTAATTAGCATAAACTAGATAAGCAGTCAACCAATCAGGAATCTCCACACTTAATGGCTCACTTTTGTTACTTCTCAAACCACTCCCTCTGGCATTTTGCCAGGCACCATCCAGACTTGTTTAGGAACTCTAACATTCCCCTTGCAAAATGCCAGGTGTTATTTTGACTTGTTTACAGACTCTAACAGTATGCAAACTGAGAGAAAGAAACAAAAAGAAAGAGAGAGAGAGAGAGAGAGAGAGAGAGAGAGAGAGAGAGAGAGAGAGAGAGAAAGAAGGAGATATTAGAGAAGGAAGCTAGAGGGAAGGGAAAGGATATACAAACCAGTATGGGCACGGATATGTACACAGTAGGAAGATTTTCTAAGAAGAAGTATACTGTGCCAGGAAACAGCAAGGTCTTTCCTAAGAATTCAGCCCAAGGGCAATGACAAAGCTTTTCAGTAATTTCAATATAGGCAAATCAATCAAACTTTTCCTCCATGGTTTGATATTTCAATAATTTACTGATTTTTTAAGAAAGCATTCCTGTGATGATGTCATGAATATATATTTTTTTCTTTAATTACTGGTTGAATAATCATCTGGCAAGAATATTTATTGATGGTGTGATAGCAGTCACATGTCTCCTTTTCCATATGAATGATTAGTTATTACAGTAGCATCTAATGAAAAAAAAAAATTCCTTCTAGTGACCTGAAAAGCCAAATTTTTAAAAAAGTTTAGAGTGTCTTATTCTACTCATAGTTTACAAAAAAAAAAAATATTTTTGTGAACCTTGAATTTTATCAAAAGCTGATTTGGGATCTAATGATATAATTATGTAATTTTCCCTTCCTTAATTCTGTTATTTTGGTGAATTATCATTATTTTTTGACTCTGGAATAAATTCAATTTGGGCAACGAGTATGATTTATTTCATAATGGACTTCATAATATTTCAAACCCGTGTTAGTTTGTCAGACTATCCTTTAGTTTTCTGTTGTTGCTGCCAAAGTTACACTTGACTAAAACAAGTATTTGAATTTTCCCTTTCATTCTTCAAACTTCTGATATATATAAATTTTTTTATTGGTTGTTCAAAACATTACATAGCTCTTGACATATCATATTTCATACTTTGGATTCAAGTGGGTTATGAACTCCCATTTTTACCCAGTATACAGATTGCAGAATCACATCTGTTACACATCCACTTTTTTACATAATGCCATATTAGTAACTGCTGTATTCTGCTACCTTTCCTATCCTCTACTATCCCCCCTCCCCTCCCCTCCCCTCCCGTCTTCTCTCTCTATCCCATCTGCTGTAATTTAATTATCTCCCTTTTTTTTTCCCCTTTCCCCTCACAACCTCTTATATGTAATTTTGTATAACAATGAGGGTCTCCTTCCATTTCCATGCAATTTCCCTTTTCTCTCCCTTTCCCTCCCACCTCATGTCTCTGTTCAATGTTAATCTTTTCTTCCTGCTCTTCCTCCCTGCTCTGTTCTTAGTTGCTCTCATTATATCAAAGAAGACATTTGGTATTTGTTCTTTAGGGATTGGCTAGCTTCACTTAGCACAATTTGCTCTAATGCCATCCATTTCCCTGCAAATGCCATGATTTTGTCATTTTTTAGTGCTGTGTAATACTCCATTGTGTATAAATGCCACATTTTTTTTTTATCCATTCATCTATTGAAGGGCATCTGGGTTGGTTCCACAGTCTAGCTACTGTGAATTGTGCTGCTATGAACATCGATGTGGCAGTATCCCTATAGTATGCTCTTTTAAGGTCTTCAGGGAATAGTCTGAGAAGGGCAATAGCTGGGTCAAATGGTGGTTCCATTCCCAGCTTTCCCAGGAATCTCCATACTGCTTTCCAAATTCACTACACCAATTTGCAGTCCCACCAGCAATGTACAAGTGTACCCCTTTCCCCACATCCTCACCACTTGTTGTTGTTTGACTTCATAATGGCTGCTCCAGTAAGATGGTATATAAATTTTTTAGAAATCAACTTGGAAAAAAAACCCTAGAGACTTGAACAAGTATAATACATAAGATCTCTCAATGAATTTTAAACAAAATAATCTGGTCAATTTTATTAGTCATCAGGTGTTAGAGTCTGTAAACAAGTCAGGATGGCACCTGGCATTTTGCCAGGGGGAGTGGTTTGTGAGGTGGCTCCAGTGAGCCATTAAGTGTGGAGATTCCTGATTGGTTGACTGCTGTAACTAGTTTATGTTAATTAAGATAAGCTGTGTGGAATGTATAAATACCTCTGTTGTCCTACAATAAAAGGCTCCCACTCCTGCTGTATCAATGTACACAAGTTGCTCCTCACCCCTGCCCCCCCCCCCCGTTTTTTTTGCTGCAACCAGACTGCAGCAATCAGGGGAGTACAAAATTTAAATAGTAATGGAATATCCATTACTTACTACCAGATGAATAAAATTAAAAGAACACAAAACACTGAGTGTAGGCATAGATGTGGAACAATTGGACTCCCAAGCCTTGAGAAATATAGGTGTTTACATCAATTTCCAGGGTTAATGGTATCTATTAAATCTGAATATAATTTATGTCTAAACAATTCATCAGAAGATAACTTACATTTTTGTTTACCCAGAGTTATGTGCAAAAATATTCATAGCGGCATTGCTCATAAAAGATGAACCTGAAAACACTTAAATACCTACCAATACTACAATGGCTAAATATGGTGTGGCATATTCACACAATGTAATACAATGCAGGAATAAAAATTGTAATTTGCTGATACAAGCACCATAATAATTAAATCTCACAAAGGTAATGTTGAATAAATGAAGGCAGAGGCAAAAATAACAGTGATGCATTATTTTGTTTATACACCTTTCAAAAATCATAATAAATGTTACACGTGATAAGTAAAAGTATTATATGAGGGTTGTTCTGGAGTGTGGCTTGTTTTATTTCTCCATCAAGATGTGTTTATAATGTAAGAATTCAGCAACCTGCATCTTTATGCATTGTTTGTTTGTTTTGAGGGGTATCAGGGATTGAACTCAGGGGCATCCAAGCACTGAGCTACATATCCAGCCCTATTTTGTATTTTATTTAGAGACAGGAACTCACTGAGTTGCTTAGCACCTGCCTTTTGCTGAGCCTGGTTTTGAACTAACAATCCTTCTTCCCGAGCCTCCAGAGCTGCTGGGATTACAGGCATGCACCATCATAACCAGCTGAACTGTTTATTTGTATATGAAATAAATTTATATAAAGAATCAATAGGCTTTCATAAAATCCAGATTCTATTGAGCATTATGAATATTTTTTTTAGTTCTGGGGCTCAATACACAGAAAATTGATCAAGTTAGGTGAACTGTATTTCCTTCAGATTCCGTATGTGCTGTACAGTTTGTCCATGTTTCTGCTACTCTTTTAGTATTGGGTACACGCCTTAGCTAAACGTGGTTGCCATCCATCATTACATCACTGCAATTGTTTTCTTAGACCTGTCATTCATTGGTATCATCTGGCTAGAACATGAATGTGCATGCATTTTTCCTCAAACTCTGAAATATTGGAAGAGGAGTCAGTAGCCTTAGCCAAATGAAGTTCACCTCCTCTATTGAGAAAAGTATGCATGAAGAAAAGCATAAAGTATGGGATGAATATGGTGTACTTATAGGCAGCAGGCAGGAAATTAATGGGATTTCCACCTGGGGCCTTTGTTTGGTCTTATATCAGAATAAGATAACCTGTGCAGGGATGAGTGGGAGGATTTAATAATTTTCCCAGTTTTCGGTAAAAGAGAAGAACAACAGGACACACCTGGAATGATTTCTGGGCAGACCTAAGAGGCTATTTGAAAAGAGACTGGGAATTTTAAGGGTGTGATTCCACAAAATCATATGTTTATCTCCATCAAACCCAGTGCTTATAAGAAATGAGGAGAAAAGCCCTGTAAAAATGTTCCAAGTCTGAGTTTTCAGGGTAGATGTAAAGAAAGGATAAGAGAAATTTTTAAAGTTACAATGAAATTATCTGCCAGTAGGATGTATTTATTGTTTGTTTGTGTGTGTGTGTGTGTGTGTAATACTAGATTATTGATGGAAATTTAATATGAATATATCCAAAATGGAGTGAGTCAATACTGGGAGATTATTAAAGTAGAAGTTAAATGTCTTTGTGGTTTTGTCTAGTTTAATCAGTACTGAAAGGTTAGAATTTCTTTCAGAATAATCTCCTGGGACCATTGACTTTGGATACTACAGAGCCTGAGATTAATTGCCATATTGGGAGAACTCTGTCCATGGGAAATTTTTGGATTCAATGGCCTGTGTCCTCTCCCAGCCTCTCTTCATTTGCTGGTCTTCAGGGATCTTCAATCTCAAATAGCAGTCCCTACAACCAATACATTGGCCTCAGACATTGATTTATCACTTCAAGGTAAAATTGTTTTTGCTTTGTTGCTCAAATTTCCTTTTGTTTTAAAATGTGATTATTGGGATAAAAAATATGAAGAACTTCTTCTCTTTTAATATATTCACTATTATTAATGCCTTGATTTTATATCTGACTTATTCCCATGATTCTTAACATTTAATAATAAATTGATATTTGGGGTTAAATTGATGTTCATCTGGATAAAGGGAGATAATATGGAGCACATGTAATTTCAGATTTTGCATCAGAGTTAAATACAATTCTATGAATCTAAAATGAACACAGTCTTATAAGTAAGAAACTTTCTCATGACAAGAATTAATCTCTTATTGCATTCTTTTGATATTGTATATGTGTAAGAATGTGTGTTTAAAAACTCTACTAAAAGTATCATTTGGCCAAGATGGGTAGAGGCTATAAGCAGGATTAGAATGAGAGTAACATGTCTGAATTTATTTTATTGCATTGGTAGAAGTAAAGTGAAAAAACTGAAAATTATGCATATATGTATTTGTGGGTTTTGTATGGATATGGATATGTATAAACATCTTTGCAATACATTTTATGTATATTATATATATATATATATATTACATATACATATATATATATATATATATATATATATATTACATATACATAAAATTATGTATAATTATGTGTATGTGTGTATATCTAGGGCCTCCTTCATATTCTTTTTTATTATAGTGTTCCCCTCTCCCTATCTCTTGAGTGATCCCTCAAGGACTTCATGTTGTATTTGATGTCTCAACCCTACCACTCCCTTAATTTTGTTTTTACTGATTTCAGCTAAATATCACTTTTATATGATAAGTGAAATTACTATAAGGTATGGCTTTTGACAATTATTTCACATATTTTATTTTCATGATTAATTTTCACAATAAAACTATCACAGGGTATAAAATTATTATTGAAGGATTTCAAGGCCTGAAAGGTTTTTTTTCACATCCATGTAGAAAGTGTCTATTTGTCCTAAACAAAAGATATGATTATGGTCTTTAGGTATATTCATTGAATTGGTGAATACATTTTAAACTTTTGCATTCATAAATATTTGGAGTTTTTAAAAGCTGCTCTTTAGCCTCCTGAAAGGTAAAAATTCTATGTAGGTTTTAATGCATATTGAGGCAGCACTTTCATTCATTTGATGTGCCCTCATAATGATAACCCCCACTCCCTCCTTTCAGACTTAAACATGTTTTTATTCAACATTCCCTTCCCTAGTACCACACACCAAAAAACAAACAAACAAAAAAACGAACCGAGTGTTGTTTTGAATGTGTGTGCTGCATGAATCTGTATCCTCAATAAGCTGATGGAATAAATGAATTAACTAATCCCTAAAGGAAACATGCTTCTGATATTATGTGTCCACATTATTAAACAGTTAGATATAAATAGTAATATTATGACTTTATTAACCAAGTGTTTACCATTTTACAATAAAAAGAATCTTTATAGTCTCCATAACCCAAAAGTCATTCATATAAAGAAAATCATCAAAAAAGAATGCCCAACTCAAAGTTTATGCTTGAAGACTGGAAATACTATGTATGCATAATTTGTTATATTAAATATTTATTTTATTGAATTTTTTTTCCACTTAATTTGAATGATTCTTTATAAGCATTTAACGAATTTAATGTATTTTTATCCTTTGGCATTTTCTTTCTTTTTTTTTTTTTTGTCCTTCTGTGGAAGATTTTATCTCAGCTTCTAATAGTTCTTTCTCAAGGAAAACCTTTGTTTCCAGAATAAGCTCCAGGTGCCTCTCTGTAGAAAGTCTTTAACAACATCTTCTGCAACTTTTGAAGGACACTGCACCGAAATTTATTCTGTGAGTCACTGTAATTTGTCTGAGTGAGGATTTCAAAGAGTTATTTTATAAATTTTGATGTTGTCATTAGTGACCAACACATTATACTCTCTTTAATTCTTGTAATGTTTTCCTTCTTGTCTGAACAAGGTAATGGGCATGACCAATAGCAGTGCCAAAGAAGACTTCATTCTGGTGGGCTTCTCAGACCAGCCCCAGCTGGAAAAGATACTCTTTGTGGCTGTTTTGATATCCTACCTTCTTACCTTTGTGGGAAATTCACTAATTATTCTGGTTTCTTCCATAGACCCTAAACTCAAAATACCCATGTACATTTTCCTTACTCACCTCTCCCTAGTGGACATCTGTTTTACCACCAGTATTGTCCTTCAGCTGCTATGGAACCTCAAAGGACCAGCCAAGACCATCACATCCCTGGGTTGTGCGATCCAGCTCTATGTCTCCCTGGCATTGGGATCCACTGAATGTGTTCTCTTGGCTGTGATGGCTTTTGACCACTATGCTGCAGTGTGCAGACCTCTCCACTATACAGCTGTAATGAACCCATGCTTGTGCCAGGTTCTGGCAGGGTTTGCATGGCTGAGTGGAGCAGGAAATGCTCTCATCCAGGGCACTGTCACCCTCTGGCTGCCTCGCTGTGGACACCGACGGCTCCATCATTTCTTCTGTGAGGTCCCCTCCATGATTAAGCTTGCATGTGTGGACATCCATGCCAATGAGATCCAGCTCTTAATTACTTCATTGATCTTGCTCCTTTTGCCCTTGGCACTGATATTGATGTCCTATGGACACATAGTCAAGGCAGTTATAAGCACCAAGTCAGTGCAGGCCTGGCAGAAAGCCATGGGGACATGTGGATCCCACTTGACAGTAATATCCCTCTTCTATGGGAGCATCACAGCCAACTACATCCAGCCCAACAGCTCCTATGCCCACACTTATGGAAAATTCATCTCCCTCTTTTACAGGGTCATCACCCCAACCCTCAATCCTCTCATTTACACCTTGAGGAATAAAGAAGTTAAAGGTGCACTGGGAAGAATATGCCACAGAGACCTACGTGTGTAAAAAATGAAGCAAAATACAGACTGGTCAATTTTTCATCACAAGTCTCTTAAATATCATCTCATATAGTCCTTCACCAGCCTAAAAGCACAGCTGGAACCTCCACAGTTTGCATGATTGTACTTCACATGGCCTCACAACTATCTGTCCTCTCCAATCTTTTTTCAGGCTTCTTTTGGGCCCCTTTATAGGCATTATTTTCCCACACTCTTTGATGTCCATTTTCCTAAAAATTTCCATTTCTAACCGTTTCTTACTTCATTTCTTCTTTTGTCACCTCCTGCCATCCTTTTTATTCCATCCTTTATTCCTTCTTTATATCCCATTTTGGTTTTCAGTTTCTTGTAGTACTGGAACCCAGGACCTTGTTCATGCCAGGTAAAAACTCTTATCATTGAGCTACATCCTCAGCCCTTTTTATTTTATTTTGAGACAGGGTCTGTTTAAGTTGCCCAGGTGGGCCTTGAACTTGTGACCCTTCTGCATCCACCTCTCAAGTAACTTCGAGTATAGGTGTGCAGCTCTGTGCCCAGATTTTTTTACCATTTGTATGATGTGCTTTGTAACTGTTTTTCCTCATGTCTCTATGTTATAGCTCTTCCCATTAATATTCTAACAGTTCCTGAAATTAATTTCCTCAAAACAAAACAAAACAAAAAAAAACCTTTCCTCTTTTGTCACAGTAAAAGCTATTGTGAAAAAATTTGAGAATTTGGATTTTGAATTCCACAACTTCCTTTTTGAGCTAATGCAATTTTATTGAACTTTTTTGTATCCAAGTTTATGTATGATTTAAAAAGTAATCAGCTTTGTATACAAGACCTTACTGTAACAAAAAAGAAAGGTGATATCTGAAGCAGATAAATTGGGTATAAATTTCTGCTCTTAAAGAATTGATCTTAGAGTATGGCTAAACAACTATATATGCAATATTAAAAGAATTTAATTTTGTTATTATGTCTTGATTTGATTGCAGTTTTGTTCCTATTTATAATTTCTTCCCTTCATTGGTCTGTTTGTATCCATACCAAAATAGAATGCAAAGTTCATCTTTTAACATTTGACATCATCTGCCTACTCCCCTTTGCACAGCTCCTCTGTCCCTCTTGATGATTGTGGTATCTGATCTTCACTAAATAGGCTGAAGTCACATGGTTTGCTCCAAAAATCACTATTGATACCACTGAAAAAACAAGCCAGCAACAAGACAGTATTGAGAGGTTGGCTTGCCCCCCTCTCTTCTAACAGCATGTTGATTATAAGCCTTTATTGATCTTAAAAATCTGTCAGACGAGTCATACATTGGGTTATTTTTTATATATAAGTATACACAATATTTCAAATTGCAAGCAACATCTCAGTAGATTCAAACTTTCATGCTGTTATCTAAAACATTAAAAATTTGTAAATGTAAGAATAAAATGCACTTAGATATTTAAAATGCATGAATAAGGAAACCCATTGGTGTTGTGCTTTTCTTGTATATCAATAATTAACCTACCCTCATGTACAGAATGAAAATTTTCATTTGGGGTTTTGTTTCAAGAAAATGTATTGTCATGTCTTTGAGAATAAGTTTTATTGTCTCCCATTAATTGGTTTCAAACTAATATCCATTTATAGATTTTAACTCCAAATTATACCTTATAATTAAACTACTTAAAAAAGTAATGACCTTCATTATTAATTAAAAGATTTTAAGTGCAACATAAATGCAGTAACTGATAATAAATGATCAATCAATATCAATTAGTATGTTTTCAAAAGTCTACTTTCCTGGTCATAATATTCCCTCTATGAGGAGTCTAATTTAGGCTTCTTTTTTAAAATTTGATCCCATAAAAATTGGTATCTAGTCTAAAATTATTTATCTGCTTGTGTTTACACCTGCTTGGAAAAACAATACCTTGAAAATCTAATAGAAAATAATATAAAATAAGTTAATTCTTACCTTTTCTTTGTAATATGGAAAAATATGATTCTTTTCCTTCACTAAGTTATGTAATGCATGGTACATTTGTTTTTAATGGTGATAATAAAGTTAAAAGTGTTATTTTTGAAAGGACAGTTACTGTAAATGTAGTAGGAAAAAAATGTGTTTGAACCAGGAGAGACCAGAGTCTCAGTTATTGTGTTTCTAACATTAGGAAAACCTCAAAGTTTGTGGCATTTCAGAGGTTAGAAGACATGTAGTAAGAACTCAGTATATGTCACTTATGCATTAATAAACCATTGATGTCAGATCAAGTAGCCTTTTTTTTTCTGAGAGAGAGAGAGAGAGAGAGAGAGAGAGAGAGAGAGAGAGAGAGAGAGAATTTTTAATATGTATTTTCCAGTTCTCGGCAGACACAACATCTTTGTTTGTATGTGGTGCTGAGGATCGAACCTGGGCCACACGCATGCCAGGCAAGCACGCCACCACTTGAGGCACATCCCCAGCCCAGATCAAGTAGCCTTGATGGCAAATATACATATGTTTTCCAGGCCTAAATTATTCGAGCAGTCACTAGTTGCTATTAATTCTCTACCAAGTTCACTTGCAATAATCAAATGAATTCTGCTTTTGACATGTAAAACATATTTGTTTATTGCTTATATAAACGTGTCTCTTTTTTATAGACAGGACAAAAATAGTGTATTGCAATATAATGATTTTGACTCAGTTGTGAGCTAATATTTGTTACAAAATTCTCACATGTTTTTTGCTTTGATTTCTGTGATTTTCCATTTCCATAATATGAGGGGAAATTTATTTCTCACATTACCTTAAAACTTAAAGATATTCTTACCAAACATTGTGTAGCACACTTCATTTTTAGTCATACATCTAGTTAACCTCCCAATCTACCAGGTGGGTTTACCTACTATACCTATACCAGGTATGCCCTGACTGGCCATGTTCTCCTGAAAAGCTATACTATCAAGGTTCAAGTCTCATCTACATGATCATCCATATTTTAATTTGTATTATATTTAATTTTTAAACCTATGAGTGTCTTTTTCTATTATCTTCAGTTATTCTTTGGGTTTCACAAAATTCCTCACATGAAATGAATGAAAAATAAGTTTACATGAAAGACAGTGAACTAGTGATTACTGACCTTTAAGAATTATCTAAAAATCATGTGAGCAAAGGACTGATGGGTCAAATCACAGATCAATATATCAACAATATGTTCATTTGTTATTCAATCAGTAAGAACTTATGAACCATGCTATGTTTATTATTGTGGCACTGCCAACAAGTAATATATAGTGCTGATGCTGGCACTGCCAACAAGTAATTTATAATATTACTATAAAAGATATTTCATGATTTAAGAAAAAGTTAAAACCAATATAAGGTTATACAAAATGCACAGTGAAACAAGAATGCAAGTACATTGATTGAGAAGATCATACTAACTATGGATCAACAAACTACTGAGTATTATTTTATAGGCATAGAGATAAAACTATAAATGTATTTGAGGAAAGAAAAATGCATCTCTCATGAGAATGTGAATGTGATAAGGATCAGAAGTCACATTTCTGAAGGATGAAAATCAGTTCATTGGCTTCTAATGATATACATCAGGAATAAAAGTTATATGGCATCTTACATTTTTATACTGTGAACATATAAATCTTTATTGAAATGTTCTCATTTAATCTTAAAAATCAGCAACATAAATAGTTTAAATCATAATAAGTAGTTATGATGAAACAGGTTAAATTAAACAGAAGTGATTGTTCCTATTCCTTTATAAAAGGTATTAAAATTCCACTACATTAAAAAAGGCTACAAATGTATTAAGGACTAATAGGACTGAAGAGAAGCTAACAGTAGAGACAGGACAAATAAGCTTTTGTCATATGCAAAATTAATGAAAGGTAGTAAATGGCTTCAAGAAGGGGAAAAGAGGATGAAAAAAAAAAAAAACTGCTTTTAGAGGATTCTGACATGGAAATGGAGAAGCCAGTAAGAATAAATAAAATTTCTAGTATAGAACCCTGGAGTATCAACAGAGGTTTAGAATGGTAAATATTGTATGTCTTAGAAATCAGACTGTGGAGTGACACTAAAATAAGAACAATTTAAATTTCTGCCAAACAAGAACAACTAAAAAAAAAAAAAGCTTTTCTCCAAGCCACACAATCAGATGAGGGCTATTCTAATATCAAAGCAGATAAGAATAGTTGTCATCCTTAAAGAGGTGAGATCAGGGAGATTCCAGACACTAACACAACTGAGATTTGACTGTGTCACATCAATAAGCAAAGAATTGTATTAGATGCTGCATATGGCATCCTTCCCAAGTATTTTCCTCATCTTGATCTCAAAACACAGGAAGCCATTCTTATAACTATATAGGTAGAGCTATAGAAGTGCTAATGGAGAATGTGGAATCAAGACCTGTTTAAAAATACCCAAAGAATACTGACATTTGTTGTACTCTAACCAAATGCATTTATCACCCTGTCATGAAACCCCATTTAGCAAACTTAAGTCAAGGCATTCTCTATCAATTTTCTTGTGATTACATCATCTCACTTCTATGTAAAGCTTCCAACACAGAGAATATTATAACATAAGCAGAGAAGCAAACAAAAAGGAAAAAAAAACATGGTCCATAAATTTTCTTTAATCAGAGAATTTTTGTTACAAATTCAATGTGGTTACTAATTGTTGGTTTGTTAGATTTGTTTTTCATGATTCTATCTTGATAAGATGTATGTGTCCAAGAATTTATTCATTCCTTTTAGGTTACCAAATTTGTTGGCATATATTTTTACCTCTTATTGTTTGGATATTAATATACCCAAAAAGCTCATAAGGCAATATAGGAATGTTTAAAGGTAAAATTGTTGTAGGGACAAATGAGGCAAGGCACCGAAGATAGCAGGAAACAGTTTTATTTGGCTGCAGCCAGGTTCAGAGTGCACAACTTTTGCTGTAATCAATCTCCTGAAGCACAAGTTCAGGTAGTTTCAGAATTTTATACCCAGCATGTAAGGGGAGG